CTGTATATAAATATATATATATATATATATTATATATATATATATGTAAAATAAGTATGATTGCACAGAGTAAAAATGTATACATTGACGTTATATAGACATAAAAATATTTTAATTAGAATATTTTGAGCATTCCTGTGTTTCCTCAGTGGTAGCACGTAACATACACACACACACACACATATACATATTTTATATGAAGATATAACAAATATACAAATATTTGTTATATGCAAATTGTGTATATAACAATACAGTATGTTATGATCAGTTTTAAAAGATTAATATGGTCACATGTAACAGAATGCAAATTCTTGATTATGATTATTTACTTTAAAACATAAAAAGACACCTAAAACTACAACAAATTTCTGAATAAAAAAAATTATTGAAATATGTTTTTATTTTGATAGTAAATTAATACAGGAGTATATAAGGCAAAAAAAAAAAAAGAAGTGTGTTGCCCTCCGCTGCCGACCAAAATTTTCCAAAAAATCGGGTCGGCATTTTTTTTTTTCAAGTAGGCCTACAAATTTGAGAAATATCACTACCAAAATGAACATTTAGAACATAAAATCTAAAACAGACATGTATTTTTATCAAAATCGGGCCATAGATGCATGTGTAAAATCAGTAAAATATAAGGCATAATTTTGAGAACGCAACATCGGATCTTTTCTGCTCTTTTTTGCTTTCATCGGAGCCTATTCTTTACTACTGTACTGCTAGTGTTTGCTTGAATCAAAAATATCATTACCTTACAGTATATTAGACAATAAATAAATACAGGCTTACCGTAGGTCTAGCCATCGCTTTAAAGCCTTTACTAGACTTTGTCTCTGTTATGGTATAGCCATAGTATGGTTTTTCTCGGCCTGCCAGTGCCTGATCTTGTGGATAAAATACACATTATTTTTTACATTTTGAAGCCAAACTAGAACTTTATTTTAACTGATTTATTTTTGTTAAATTTATTTCAATATACACTTGGTTAGTATTTAATTTAATACAAAATTTTATAATTGAATCTGGGCCATTCATGTTGAAATTACGTTGTTGTTTAATGTTATGTTTTAATTTCAAGTAATGTTCTTTAAAATACAGAGATATGGAAGTATATTCCGGACCAATCTCCTGCAGAGCAGCTCACATGCCTTTGCCACGTTGTGAAACATGATACACTCCAAGGCCTGTGTTAACATTTTTCCGCGCCAATTCCATTCTTTTAATAAATTCAATATGGCATGGTCTCGGTGTTTCAGTGCTTCACATAATTAATACCATCAAACTGTTTTCAATTGTTTATTATATAATCTACGCTACTGTACTGTAAAATCAGCTAATATTAATGCTTTAAGATTTTTTTTAATATAAAGTAATGAGAACTTTAAATTTTTGTATGTTTTGTATATACGGTAATTGGCTATCGGCTATTGGATGTTGTTGTAAAATAAAATAAAATAATGAATAAAATAAAAATTTACAATAGTCAGTTAAGTCTTAACCTAATTGACTGTGGGATGTAGTTTTAAAATATTTAATATTGGATACTGTACAATATAGAACAGTCTACTGGCATAATGCACTGTTCTGCTGGCACTAATTAAATTTAAAGCCAGGCTTTGAGGCAAATATTTTTTTTGATATTTTGTACAAATAATTTTACTAAGACACAAAAAAGTTGTTTGACCAGACATAAACTCACTCGGGAACGGTATAATGAGATACATATTTTTGAATATTTTGAAACTAGCGGAAAAGTGGAATAGCACCTCCTTTTCACCTTTTTCCATCAGTTTTTAAATATTCCTTCCGGAGCCTGACTTTAAACAAAGGAATATGAATTAGACAGTTACATTTTATGTAGAGTGGTGAGTGATCAGAATAAGACCTGCCAGCAAACAATATGCCTAGTTATTTTTTATGTGGGTTGCTTTACAGTCGTGCAGTGCTGCATACAGTTTGTACTGTACAAGCAATTTTCTTTTTTTTTCTTCTTATTTTTATTTTATTTCAACAGTCTTTATAGTGGGTGACCCTTCTAGTTAGCCTAATATATTTTGAGGCCCTCTACATGATAAAATTTGAAACAAGTACAAAAAGACTGAAATTAAAAAGCCAACATGTTGTATGTTAACAATTATAAAAGTAGATAAAATAACAATGTGACTGCCATCTTTAAAGTAACTTTATCCACCTGAGAGAGCTTCTCGTGGGATATTGTTATGGTGACTGTTGGGTTTTGGTCCGATCCTTTCATCACAGTTTGTTCAGTTGCTCACACACACTGTATGGATCAGTAAATATTGCTCGACAAACAAGACACTTTTACAGACTTGTAGGTTTATTTGGAGGGTCATTTCTAAACCAAAACATTCTAAATATACTTAAAAGTACAGTACTGTACTGTAGCTGGTCAAATAAGCCATAGCCATAAACGATATCTTTGTAGTATTTTCAATAAAGGTCACTGAAGCCTGGCTTCCTATAAATCACTACACTGTTGCTACAGCGTTTTCAGTGCAGTCATTGTACTGCCTAGCAATAGATTTAAAAATGGTCTTTGTTATATTTTTGTGTATTTCCTACTTTTTAGGTGTAAACACATTATTGATAAAAAAAAAAATAATAACTTCTGATAAGACAGCCTATATTATATTGATTCATGATGTTTTCCACATTCTCGCTGATGAAGGCCACAGGAGTGGCAGAAATATTCGAGTTTATAATAAATCAGTGTTCTTAAAGTCTACTACTGAAGTTGTTTCATTATTTTATATATATATATATATATATATATATATAAATTTAATGGCAAATGGGATAAACCCATAAAAACAACGAGCAGCCACATAAATGCAAATAATGATAATGTAAAGTTTAAACGGAAGAGTTTATATATATATATATACCTACTTTTTCTGTTGCTATTTATAGAAAGAATTTAGGTTTTGAATAGCTACAGTATATTGATACAGTAGTAGGCCTACTGAACCAATGTACTCTGACGTCTACGAACACTCCCACGAAACGGATGAATTTGATTCCTTCCTACTGTACAGATAAAGGGGCATTCCCGGCTACTGAACTCGTCGCAGTGCATTACTGTACATACCAATTTATTGTCCAATACCTACTCTAAAACTGTAGCAGGTAATATACTTGTGGGTAGGGGACAGCTGGGGGGGGGAGAGAAACAAAAATGTAGGTAAAGTGTCCTGCCGAAAAATGCATGTGAAAAATGTACAGCGTGGTATTAAACCCTGACCTCGAGTTGTTCTGAACTCTTTTAATGGTGGTTCCAATGACCAAAGGTTTTAGAACCGTGAAAGGTGCCATAAGTATTTAAAGACAATAATGTGTAGACTTGTACAGTAGTGTTTCAGAGCGATCACTTCTGTTATCACACAACACATGATCAAAGTATGACTTTAGTTTACTCAGGGCATATGACACCACATCCTTGATTGTTAATCTGTAATCTGTAGTAATACTTAACAAGGTTTTGTACAGTAGGGAGTCATTTCCCAATTGTATTCAAATGTCAACAGGATTTAAATAAAAGTGAAATCTGCCAGATTATTCCAACTGAACACTTTCTCATTCAAAAACTCTCCTTCCTCCTCTACAAAACATGTTGATCTGTTCTTTCTTGTTCAACTGCACAACGTCAATTGACATGTAGAGTACTGTTTTGGCTGTTGAGTGTTTTATTTGTTAAAAAAAAAAAAATTCACACTAGTAATTTATACTTTTCTTTTATTTTATTTCTATTATTTTTGAAGCTTATAATTGCTTCGATATTTTTTCAATAGCCAATATCTTACTCATAGAGCTACATGTACAGTACATGGTTTACTCTACGTACTACCATTTCACGCACACCAAATTAGGCAATTAAAGTCAATTACTAGTTTTATGTCCCCGTCCTAATCAAATTTTGGAACCTCATGAAAAAATTTGCTATTTGCTATTTTTCAAAAAAATATTCATTTTTCCATGAACAATAAAAATAATGACTACAGTATCTAAAAGAATGATATCAAGCCTTAAGAACAGGTGGGAACATAAATGACAGGAATACATTAAAAGATTAATTTTACTTTCTTTTTTTATAAAAATAAAACTATTTTTACTATTTACTTGCCTGTTTACCAATTAGTACTGTATATAGGATAGTAATAGG